GCGGCTAACCTTTTAGTGGCTTCTTATTATGCGTTATTTGTTTCACGCTTCAGGCACCCCCCTACCCCCGCCCCCCCCCGCCGCCGATGTCATCGTCCGTCACGATGTTTCACTGTAGACATCGTCCGATGCCAATTTGCTAGAAATCGCTCAACCCTATGGAAACCATGATAATTTTTTTCAGGATTCTTTAACGAATAGAAAGTTCAAGAGAATAGCATTTATTAGAAATACCAATTTTGTGTAGCATTATAAATGTCCTTGTCACTTTTGATCAATATAATGCTTCCTTGTAAGATAAAATCATTCATTTCTTTAAAAAATCTTACTGGCCCAAAGCACACAAGTGTTTTCAGTGGTTAATTTTTTTCCTTATGAAGTTTCTATGATCACTAAGCTGTTGTGAATATTCCTCCATTTTTTTTTCTTATTCCATTTAAAAAATAAAAATAAAAACGACATAAGGGTGAGTACATATTAACAGCATTTAAATTTTTGGGTGAACTAGTGCTTTAAATGAGGGGGAGGAAAGCAGGGCTGGATTAAACCGTGAAGCATCTCTCCCTCTTGTCTCTCGCTTCCTTCTCTCAGTGCGCATGTCGTACAGAAGAGAGGAAGAACATTCTGATCTATATTTAGAGGCTAAGGCAGAAAAAGCATCCTACCCACCTCAAGGCCCAACATAACCCTCCGGCACATGTACACCCCTCCAAACACACAAATCAAGGGCAATGCTCTGTCTTTGAAATGAATGGATTTTTGTGTGTGTGTGTGTATTGTATTGTGTAATGTGTATTGATGTGAATTGATGTTAGTAAACACTATGGGATGCAAGACATTTTTTGGAAGAAATTCTAACAATAAAGTGAAAATTGAATTGAATTAAATGTATAATTTATATATCCTGTGGAGTGCCTGGCCATTAGACAACCTGACCGAATGGTTTCAATTTTGTGGAACCTAAGAAAGATGGAGAGCGAAGCATGGAGAAAAGAGAAAGGGAGGGAATCTGAGAGAAGGAAGCGCTTCGTGCTTTGCATGCTAAGTTGCTTTTGTTTCAAGGCTGCTTCTTTCTTGTAAATGCACTGGCTCTGTCTGTTTTGGAACAGACACATCAGACTGGATGAATATTCCCAGCATTCACAGCAACGGGCTCAGTAAATAATAGCAGAGAAATTTGTTCTGCTCAAGTTATCAGTCGTTCTCTTCTCTCACTAATGGTATTCAGCAGATGTCATCATGGCTTAGATTCATTTGATGACCTGTTACGCAATGCCACAGGCTGGTGTTAGCATTGAGAGCTTGTTGAGCTTATCATCCCAGTAGAATTAAAGAGAGAGATCACCAAAAAATTACAATTCTGAACATATACTCACCTTCATGTCATTCCAAACCTGTATGACTGGCTTTCTTTTCACCAAAAGAGATTTCACAGAATGTCCAAGCTGCTTTTGTGCTCTCGTCCATAAAAAGACAGTGGATAGGCTGCCAAGCTCAAAAAACGACAAAAAGCACAAATAAAGCATCGTAAAAGTAGTTCTATGAATTATGCACTATATTAATATAGTCTTTTAAAGCTATATAGGATCACAGGATTAGACTGAATGTAGGGTTGTCACCATTTACTTTCATTGTATGGAAAGGAGCAGCATGGACATTCTGCTGAACATCTCCTTTTGTGTTCCGCAGAAGAAAAGATTAATACATGTTTTAAAAGGACACAAACAATGCAAAACAATGACAGAATGAAAGTTTTTGGTTGAGCTATCCCTTGAATAAACTAATTTCCCCCCGTGGTTGTTAAATGCTCTATTGTAAGTTGCTTGTTTATTGTTTGCAAACAGATGGGATGGAAATGATTGAATTATTAACTATTAAACACAGTTGGCATATATGATGCTTCAGTGATGATTTTCTAGTCACATGTACTCTGAACGTAATCACATATGGTTGTCTTAGAGATCTGTGGTTAGTCATTAACCACCCTATGTTTCCATGCTATGAGGCAGCACTCGGTTTTATTTGGGGCTTTAAATTCAGTCTTCAGCTTTGTGTAATTTCTGCCAGAACAAGCTTCGTCTGTCTCTCATCTGCTTGGCCTCAATTCACTTCAGATAACATGACAGACGGATTTGTTCAAGTGTTTTACTCTTTAACGCTCTGCAGTTTGTCACAACGACAGACAGAAAAAGCTTTAAATGTGCTTTGTAAGCAAAAGCTTTTAAGACTGAGTTTTAAAAGAATTATTTCTTTCTTTATTAAAATTATACCTAAAATAATCACAAAATGGACTGTAAGCATTAACCAAATGATTCTGTTCTCTCTGAGAAATATAAAAGCCCTGTTTTTTTTTTTTTTTAAATAAAAGTTATAAGATATTCTGTGTCCATTAACATTATGGTTTGTCCTAAAAAGTGCATGAGACATCTGATTTCAATCAGACAGCATTATAGAAATGCTGTGGTGTCTATCAAGCCTCGGTAGACACATAATTTTGTCATCTCATGCCATCTAGAGGACAATGTGAAACGTATTTATTAAAAAGCATGCCTTAAATGCTGGAATTAATGCTTTGTATTCTTCAAAGACCCGGCAAAATGTCAGTTTTGGCATTTAAAACTTTATTTAGCATTACATATTACAAAAAAAATTTTTAAAGGAGGTGCTCTTGCACACTTCAGCTCTAAAGATACATTTTGCAAGATGTGCAACTGAATTACTGTCAATAACTTATTCACAATATTATGTGTTAAACCTTCATTGGGGAGTCATTTCATGTCTTTTTGTTATGTAGTCTGGAAAGAGTCATCAGTTACATCTACAGTATGTTCACATCTGCACACAATGGCTCCACCTTATGGCCATTATTGGTCACTAACCAGTCCTGGACTTGTTGATTTCCACAGCTGTTCACTGCAATCTGACCCAGAATGGGATTGACCATCAGGTGTGTGCAGAGGATGTGACCTCACACCTGGAGGAAGTGTCTGTTGATCATGGACTGGATGATGACAGCCCAGGCTTTCAGGACCAGAGTCCTGGTTTCCAGCGACGATCTCCACCTCAACGCTCCGTCTCAGAATCTGAGCTCTCCAGGGTGAGAATAGATTCAAGACTATTACCATGATCTCAAACACTAATGACTTCTATAATTATGCTACCGCTTAAAAGTTTAGGTCTGTAAGATTTTTAAAAGAAATCGTAAAAAATATTTGATCCTCACCAAGGCTGCATTTATTTGCTCAAAACTACAGTAAAGTAATATTGTGTAATGTTGTGATATATTATTGCAATTTAAAATAAGTTTTCTATTTTAATATATTTTAAAATGTGATTTATTCCTGTGATGGTAAAGCTGAGTTTTCAGCAGCCATTACTTCAGTCTTTTGTGTCACATGATCCTTCAGAAGCTATTTTAATACGCTGATTTGGTGCTCAAGAAACGGTTATCAATTTTGAAAACAGTTGTGCTGCTTAATATTATCAGATTCTTTGAAATAGATATATTTTATAAAATTATTAGGGTTTTTTTTCTTTAAAATGTTTTACTGTCAGTTTTGATTAACTTGATGCATCCTTGCTGAATATAAGTAAAAACTTTTGAATTGTTGTGTATAGTAGAGAATCTCACTAATTTTGGAGATATAAAAAGACTGAATACATCCCAAAATGTACCTTATTGTTGTAGTATTAGTGACAGTAGATTACATTGTATTTCAATCTTATCAAATTATAGATATACACAAGGTTCATCTACCAAAGCACAGTGGTTTACTTTTGCTTATTATCTTTAATGATTCTTACATGAATTAATATTACAAAAGAAACTGCTTATCTTGTCACCTGCCATATTGTAAGAAATGCTTGGCTTTGCGTGTTTCTTCGAGACACGTGTAAATTGTGACTTTTGGCAATCGGAAAATCTGGGCCCGTATTTATCAAGATTCTCAAAGTGCCCTTTTAGTCTTAAGTGCTGAGAATTCATTAAATTTACTCCTACTTTCAAACTTAAGTATAAAAGCAAGTTATCAAATTTCTTAAAGCTAAGAATCACTCTTACTCTCCCAGTTATTTAAGACAGCTCGAGAGGTCTCTCAAGTGGTTAGGAGTTGCCAGTAGGGGCTTGTGATGGCGCTGAGGAGACAGAGACATGCGCAAATCTTTCAGGAGAGGAAGAATGTTCTTGAAATGTTTGACGACGAGCAGTTAATAAAACAGTTACATTTCCTCAGATATTCAAACAGAAACGAGCAAAGAGGATTTACATTATCAAAGAACATCATAACTGACTTTAGTCTAGTGCGAGTAGTATATGCTCTTTAAAAACACTCCCGTTATAATCAGTGAAGCTACCTACACTGTATCATGAATAAATCTCTTACCCCTTATTTACACTGCACACTCTCCGCGCTGCATCACTAAAGATAGAATCTTCTTGCTGTCGTCAAAGAAATCAGCCACAGGTGATATCTCCAACTATCGTCGATACATACTATCGTCTACCGGTGTCCTGACATATTATCCTACCCGTCAGATTGTCCTACCAGGGTTTACTGCGCATGTGCACATCAATATTGTGTCCTTTTTCTCACGCTGAACAACAATATTTAATGTATCAGCATTACTGTAAGGGTAGGTTTAGGGTTGGGGTAGGTGTAAACTTCAATAAAACACAATCTAATAGGTAGAAACAATTATTTATTGTTGGTTTCCTGTAGCTGTATCCCTTCTAGCCACAACAGCGAATATAACACATAATTACTGTATTTGCATTACTGTAAGGGTAGGTTTAGGGTTGGGGTAGGTGTAGACGCTAATGAACCATAATTTTACAGATAGCATTTTTGATTGTCGAATTGCACTACCCACTGTTTTAATGGGAGGTTGCAAAATCTGACAGGGTAGCACAAATCGACAGAACACCGGCACAACCCTAAATTAAGGTTGTGATGACGATTCGTTTCCTTACCATAATGTATTCTCTTGAAAATTCTTTATTGTCAAATGTGTGTTGAATGTAAACTCCTATTAGGAATTTAACCATTCAATGTGAATTTATCTGAGAATATTCTTAAATAAGGAAATCTATTCAGTGATTGGTCCATGCGTATTTCGTCATCCAAAATCCCGTTTGTGGCACAGCAAAGTGTCGTGAATCAACTCTGAGACTCACACTTAAGATTTAGTCCTACACTTCGCTTAAATTACAACTGAGATGCTTGATAACTAACTTTTAAGCGCCGCTTTGAGCCAAGAATTTATTTTACACTTAAGTCAGTTCTTAGCAGCGTTCTTGAGAGTAATTCTCAGAGGCTTGATAAATAGGCTACGGGCCCTGACAAATATGTGACCATTAAGATTTTGTCAGTTTAGTTTAGCAAATAATATTTTCTTTTTTTCATTTGAGTTTGGAATGAAATATAGCTAATGCCCATTTTTTACAGTTTCTATTATTATCATTTAATAAGTGATGCAGAGTTCAAATTTACAACATTTACAGCATTTTACATTGGCTTCTGTGAACAAAAGCTAGCATATTTTCTCACTGCATAGTGCATACATTGAACTCACTGGCATCACAAATATTTTTGATAGTTAAACTATTCACCACAAGATGGCGCTCCAATGCACAGAGTCTGCATTGTTGCTCTGATTTAGGCTGTCCATCTGTCTTATTAAATTTCAGTTCAATTTATTGTGAATCATATATAAACTTTTGAGCCATATATTTGAGAAATAGACAAGTTAATCAAATCGCCATTTCATCAAACAATAAAATGCATTAATAAAAACGTATATTGTCATTTTCATTGAAGCCATATATTTTTCTCCTTCATCTTTAATAATAAATATTGTTTATATCGATCAACCCTTCAAATCATAAGCCTACAATGCCTCCAATATGAGTTCTGACTCCTGTTGTCGTAAATGATGATTTTAGTGCTGTTATGCATTCATATCTTCAAGTCATCATGCTTTGTTGCTATAGTAACATGAAAATTCTTGAATTGTCTAATTATACCAAGGACAGAATGACTGTGACATTGTGTTTGCGTGTGTGTGTGTGTGTGTGTGTGTGTGTGTGTGTGTGTTATAATTTAAAAGCTCAGTTAGCTCACTTTTCCTCCCCTCAGTATCTCATCTGTCACTCGTCTTCATTTAATTGGCTGGGAATCCACCTACAAAGCCATTCCCACTTGTCTCCTACCTGCAGGAACTTCAGAATTGGTGACTCCTGTCCTCACAACTTCTTAAAGTCTTCTGTGAATCGGAGCTCACGATGGTATCTCCACTCGCACTGCTCTTTCAATGCAGTGTAATGTATCTTTATGTATTAAACCTCATCAATCCTTTTGTAATGCCTGCCCTCGCAGCTCAGTGGCAGATATCTTGGGTTAATTAGCTCGGTGCTGTTTTTAGTTGGGCTGTGACTCTTGCCCCACTGGAGGTTGTTTCTACTGACTCAGCATCTGTTTGTTTGCCTGAGCTCTGTCGCTGCTGAATTAGCCTGCTTCCTAAAGGTAGCTTACACTTCAGCTCTCAACAGCGCTGTCACAGTGGCCCTTTTTCCAGACGCTCTGAATTCAGCTCACACCATACTCAAATGGCAAGTAGTGGCATTCAAACAGGAGGCAGTCATTAAAGGGATAGTTCACCCAAAAATGGCATTTTGTTATTATTTATTCACCCTCGTGTTCTTCCTAACTCGTATGACTTCTGTGGAATACATTTAAGAATGTGTCAGTTGCTATTTTTAATGCAATTACAGTGAATGGGAACTGAAGCATTTAAGCCTTAAAAAGGTCACAAATAAAAGTAGTCCATATTTTTCCACATTTAATGAAGTTATGTGACCAGTTTATGTGAGTATCAAGTGAAATTTATTCACTGATGATCAGTAAATTGAACTTAAGAACCAGATCATTTGTACAATAAATGAATCGTTCTGACTTGTTTTGTGAAGTGGTTCAACCAGTTTATTGAAAAGATCTGATTCATTCATCATTTAGGTATTGTATATAGCACAAACTATGATGAAAAAATTTATATTTTCTGTGAATAACAACTTCTGTAAGGCTTGGAATCTTGAATGCTTCAATACTGTGAGCAAATAATGACATATTTTTTATTCTGGGGAAGAGGTGAAAAGATTCTGCATTTACATTCTGTTATCTTTTTCTCTTGCCCAGCCGGGAACTGTGAAGCTGTCCAAACCCGTGGCCCTGTGGAGCCAGCAGGACGTGTGTAAATGGCTGAAGAAACACTGTCCCAATCAACACCAAGTCTACAGTGACTCCTTCAAGCAGCACGACATCACAGGTAAACACAGGCACCCTGTCAGTCTTACAATGATCTTGTCCAAGGTCAAATACCCACAGTCCAACGCTTACGCACACATTCCACTTACATTAAGACATTCATAATGGCACTGCCATTAATTGCTGCCGGCTCAGCCTAGATGATTGCATTCTGATGTTTATTAGCTCAGCAGGGGTTCCTGTGTAGTTGAGGAGGCATGTCGGGGGAATTTATGTATGCTTGTGTCGTTTTAATGTTGTAACCTAACTAGTGATGGATGAATGTACCACGGTTTTTCATGTTGTATTGTGCTTTAATGTGTTTTTACTTCAAGAAGCATCATAGAGATGAATTGCTTGCATGGTGCAGGCATAGCATCAAAATCCAATATGTTAACATTTTTGGAGGTGTTTAACTCGTACAGCCCGATGTTATGTTATGTTATGTTATGTTATGTTATTAAGAGAAAATTTGTATTATTAAATTTTATTGCGTTTTTGTACTTTTTTAAAAAACAATATATAATTATATATAATTATAATATAGAATTTATTACATTTATATATAATTTATTCTTTTGACAACTCTAACATTGTCATTTTTGATTTTATAAAATACAAATGTTAAAATTTGTAGTTGGAAATCAGGGTCAATTGTCTTATAGTCCCAAGATGTCAGATGAGATGCAGTAAACCAAAATCAATCTTTGCGGTCAAATAGATCATGGAGTGATTTGCTGTGCTTTGTTTATAATCATGACTTTCTTTGCAGTAGCATAATTGCACAGTGCTGATGAACTGAGGTCCTTTAATCAAGAGCAGTCGTCCTGAAAATTTTCAGTTTCCAAGGTCTCTTGATGAAAAGTTCTTGTGGTGATTTATCATGATTTGGCCAACTGTCGTGAGTAATGCTAACTAAAGCAATGTTATGTCCATTCTGGATTGTTCTAGTTTGACTGGAAGAATTGTGAATGTGATTTGCATTAGGGTGATGCGTGATCCAATTAGCCATAATTTATGCAGAAAATATGCAAGCTGCTCGATTTGACGATCCAGTATTAATTAACAGGAATCAGGTCATAAACATCAGGCCTTACCAATTAGAGACACAATACAATTTGCATCCATCTCTGGTCATACCATGCATAGCACAACACATTTCATTAGAGTAAACAGAGATAGATCAGTGCCAAATCACAAGACTACAATGTTAAAACTAACTTGTTTGTGCAAAAGCACATTAAACAGATGCTTTCTGGTGTGGTTTTCTTCCATACCACGGTGTGTATCTGCATGTTAATAATTTTAAACAAATCTGAATGAATGAGATGCAGATCATTTGATCATTTGCACATCAGTTGAATTTTATACATCTGCAGAATCATCTAATATTGGACTATATTATGTGATGAACATTTTTTATCTTATCTTTAGATTAAGCCATATGTCTGAGAACTTGCATGTCATTTAGGTTTATTTTTAATTCATTTGTTTTTTTTTATTGTTTCAAAAAGTTAAAAAATAATGCATCCATCAGAGCTTCAAGGGATGTGGAGTTATACAGTGAAGCCTCTGAAACTTGTATTGATTAATCGTTATGTCTTCATCAGATCACATTTTAGAGTCCATTCATTCTGAAATTCAGAGGATTTTTGAAGAATTTGCAAGCGCTTTCATTCAGCTTTACATCAAACCAGGCACAGGCAGCCTCAAATAAAGCTTTGAGAGAGCGTGAAATTACTAACTATTAAGTTACCTAATTACTAATACTTACTATTAAGTGTCGGTTTGTTTCCATTTGAACCAGAGCGTAGTAAGATAAACCTTTGCATCGCCAACATACGACTGTTGAGATTCTCCCTCACCGCTTCGACACATCTCCCAAATCGCTCTGAGAGTTTGACTGGAACACCGAGCTGTCATTAAAAATGCATTAAAGCATATTAAGGCATAATTAGATATTAGTCCCTAATCTGCAGTAATTACAAAGACAGAGGCAGCGAGTGCTTTGGTAAATGAGTTAAGCACATATTTTTGATAGCGTAGGTGTAATCAGGGGAGAAGGTGCACTCATTTTGTGTAATATACAGCCAAGAAGATAAGAGAGAATGACTGAACCAGAGCTGCTCTGTCAGATACAATGAAACTCTGGGCTGGATTTCAAATAGACATCAATCCCATGGGCCACAGCACAGTAGGGTTATGAAAACACAACACTATATAATACCACAATTAATGCTTGTTAAATAACCAGCTGTTGTTAGACAGATAATGGCTAATTGGACATTAAAATGAGATATTCATTCATGAACTGTAGTGAGCGTTGTGCGATAGGCCGCAGTAGAGACAGAGACGATTCCGCATTCTTCTCTCTCGTTCCTCATCGGTGAGGCGAGTGAAACCAATCTGTATGGGTTCCGATTCAACGGGAGCTGTGGCCGCTGGAGGATACACAGGACATTGGCGAGGAGGACGTCGTGCCCGCATTAGATTATCAATGCGGATGGAGAGCTCAATTAACTGTTCGAGGGTCCTCCCCTCATCACGGCAGGCGAGCTCTGACTGTAGCTCGCCCGTGAGTCCCTTGCGATACAGGGTGCTTCTACTAAATACTGAGCATTTTTCAGTTTTTCTTTTTTAATAAATCTGCAAAGATGTCAACAATTCTGTTTCTTTCTGTCAATATGGGGTGCTGTGTGTACATTAATGAGGAAAAAAAATTTACTTAAATGATTTTAGCAAATGGCTGCAATATAACAAAGAGTGAAAAATTTAAGGGGGTCTGAATACTTTCCGTACCCACTGTATATATATATATATGTACGCAAGGTCGATCATAAGACTGTGAATGTCAGATCTGTTTTATGGATGACAGTGCAAACAGCAAAAACCACATTAAATGGCATTGTCTATTACAGTCTGGGCTTTTTTAAAAATTGAACAAATACTGGATATTAATCAAATTTCAATTTCAAATGCATCATAACTGTAACGAAGAGTCAGAGGCGTGCGGATCCATTTGCAGCTTTTATTAGAATCAAAGGCAGAGTTAAACAGGCAGTAATCAGTCAACAGCGTCACGAACAGCAGGGATAATCCAGGAGAATAAACAGTAGCAGAGCGAGGGTCGGGGCAGGCGGCAGAGAATCACACTAGTAGTAACAGTCCAAGGTAATACACAAGAGATCTCAAAACGGGATAAATGCTCAGAAATGTAGCCGGGGCAATACAAGACTTCGCAACCACTGAGAGTCTGGGAGCTGCTTAAATAGGGAAGCTAAGGGGAAACACCTGTGCCAGTGATCAGTCCCAGGTACGGGGTGTATGGGAAATGTAGTCCATAAACGTTAGTACTCGGGAGAGGGTGCCCTCCGGAGGCCGTCGGAGAGAGCCACAGAGGCCTGATTCGTGACAATAACACATCAGTTAGAACAGCCAGGTCAGAATTATTGCTTTTTTGTTGTTTTTGTTTTTAAAGCAATGTAATAATTGTGCCCTTGATTTACTGTAAAGAATATCATGTACATATTATTAATGAATTATAATACATAAAACACAATAATAAATACCAGGGTTGCCTCTCCAGTCTATTATGTGGTGCTTTTAAAAATTCATGTGAACAAGCATAATCAAATTTTGGATTTAAGCAATAAAATCTGAAGTGGACACTTTGACTTATGGTGTCACTGTAACCCAAGTGTCCATTTTTGAGGCATGTTTCACAGCAATTATGAAAAATGCCACTGTTCGGTCTGGTGTGGCAATTGGATCATTCATTCTCTGTGGTTTTACAGGAAAGAAAGGAAAGTTTGACAGATCTTCTGTTGACAAGATAAAGGAATCCAGCTGGGATGTTCCTAGTAAGCTGGCTCTTCTCGTGCTTCCACATGCACTGGACAGTCAATGTCTGTGCAGGCCTTCTGGCTCACTGCTGGTCAGATCAGTCCAGAGAATACTGGGTGTGGTGAGACATTGGGTTTATTTATTTGACTTTAATAAGAGTTATAAACAACTCATGTAAAAGAGACTCCCATCAGGCAGCACACTGGTGGTCTTGGCGAAGTATATGAGCTTTTTTATGGACTATATAGACTGCATTTGTCATGCAGTCCCAATTTGATCTTTCTTCTGACATTTTCATAAGAGTGAATTTATATGTATTTGAGTTTCATATTTAACATGAAAATTATATGTTGTAAAATGGACATAGAAAATCTGATGCTTGCTGAAATGCCTCTTTTTAAGATATTAATAGATCTTAAAAGATTCAACACATGATTTCTTTGGAGTTAAACACATATTCAGCCCTAACACATAAATAGCTGCAATGATGTTTTCTACAAAACATTCCCAGCTTCCACTCTGGGCTGAATCAAAGGACCCAGACTAAACATCGACCTGACGTCACACCCTCTATAAACACAATCCTGTCTGTAAACTGCGTGTAATGATGTCTTCACAGCAGTGACTGCAGTTGTTCCATGTTATATGCATTCTTTGCTGGATTTTTTTACTTGGTACTTTCCATTATTTTCAGTGTGCTGTTCAATGACCATCAGAGATGTGATGACGTTGAGATAGCTGGTGAAAAGCAGCATAGACTGAAGGTTTTCTGAATGATCTCGTTGAGCTGAAATACACAGTACTCTGATTATCTGAGACTGAATCAAAAATACATTGTCTCTTTCATTTGTTGGAATTGCCATTAAACCTGGAATTTGTGTCGTTAATGTGATACCAATGGATCTTAACCATTCATATTATATTTTTTGCTGTTATAATAAAAGGTTCATTAAAGTTAGGGAAGAAATATGCCAATTATATCTGAATAATCTGCTAAATCCCAATGTAATTCAACCCTAGACTTCTGACTTCAAGGGCTTCAGATAGCAGTCGTGTATATTTGGGATTCAGCACGATGTCTTCACAGAACAGCACAGTTTCAGCCTTCGGTAGCGCGGCGGTGATTTCCGCGAGCGGGATGATGAGGTATGAGCGTCTGAAATTGCAGTGTTCCGCAGG